CAGCAGTTAAATACAAGACACATATAATAATAAATTAACAATGCAGGTTAAAATTAAAACACTAGTCAATAAAACTCAATCAATAAAACCTAGAGTTCAATGATAATACATAAAGAAGACCTACAATATACATGCATATAAATGGACAAAATCTAAACTGAAAATATCCAGACAGGACATACTATACTATATATCAGCAAGAACAGTCTCATAAAATTCAGCCAAAGTATGATATGTCCCAGGTGCTAATAGCCTTTTTAGTGTTCTCCTGAATTTTTTCAAGCAATTAATCCTCCTAACCTCTGTGGGCAGATGGTTAAAAAGTTTTTTGCCCTCATATAAAAAGGACCTTTTAACAAGTTGAGAATGAGGTATTGGAAGAATCAATCAGAAAGGATGACGGGTTGGGTATGGTCCAATGTGGTTAAGTTCATTCCTTGAATTGCAAATAGACCTGCTATTGAATTACCCAAATCTGATCAGGTAGGGTGTTTTCGCGCTTCAGAAATGCAGTTAGGCACCAGATTTTCATTGAATATGATTTTGATAATGTGAGAGGCTAAGAGGTCATTATGGTTGAACGCTGGGCATTTGTGCATACATAGCAACAGTTATTATTGGTATATTTGCGTTACCCGCAACACCAACCAAATATCCATTATCCATCAACCTAGTTACTATATCAGATGCTGGAAACGTAGCTCCAAATAACGTACGTGTTATCAATTGAAACTAAAGTCCACGTAGCTTCATTATTTTCATTAATACCTATGTTTATTTCTAATTTTTAGCATACTATACCTATGTATTTTTAATGTGAATCTTGAATTGTTGGTATTGGCATAAAATAAATTAAAAGTATAGGGTGTATATAGATCTTTCGTCATTAAAAACAAAAATATAAAATTTATTTTTATATATTTATATATTTATTTTATAATATATTTTTTGCTTTCGCAGTAATACCTGTATATGGGAGAAACTGTGAGCTTTTCACTCAATTAACTAAATAAAACTATTTTTTTTTCGTTCATTACTGTTTCAATAATACTTGACCTAATTTAAAAAAAAACATAACACGCTATAACTCGAAATCAACGCGACAGATTTTTCAATGGTACGGACTAATAACAAACAAACAGCACCTTTATTGTATATCGGTAACATATCTACTCACACTATTTAGGTATTTCTGATCATTTTAAGTTTATTCACTCTATTTTTAATAGTATTTGACCGAATTATGTAAACGAAATAATATTCAACATACAATTTTCAACTTTGACATCTATATCCAAAATGACGTCTTCGGGGACCTATAACTCGAACACCCCTCGATAGATTTTTTTGCGTCCATGACAGCTTTTAATCAGAATAACGAGAAGTATATCATATCAAAATTTCAGACGATTTGACCGGGACCACTTTTCCTATCTTTTTGTGCGGGGTCCTTTGTAGTCTATTTCCCAGCAATTTAAAAGCACTTTGGGTTTACTCGACTCGATTCAACCGAATATTCACAATCGTAACTGTGTACCTACTTCAGGAAAAAAAAGTTTGGAACTTTCACTACCTTTGTTCTTATTTTCACGCAACGTTTCGATCGACGTGTGTCTTCGATCGAGCGAATGACGATAGGGGCTCACATAGTAGAATATACCAGAAACAGAACCGCGAAAAATATGACCGCCATTTTCCTGGAACAAGATCAAGACTATTAGACAGCGTGCATAAAAACAATCTTCTCCGGTCGGCCAATAAGAAGTGGAATGACTGAAATTCCAAAGAGCATGTGCGGGTGACAATACAATGATGTGCTAATTTGAAAATGTAATGAGAAGTGGAGCCCACGTAAATGAAACATACATTTAATTTGGCATACGGGAGGTCGTTGATCCACATGTCCGATTTTGGCGACATTTTGGAATAAGTAATATAACACTTTATACTAACCTAGAATTTCCGCCGTTTAGCTTCCTTCTATTTATTTTTGTTTGAATTACCTTTACAATGCGTGGAGGACGGAATAATATTGATCTAAATCTCCACTTATCATTACATTTTCAAATTAGCATAGGTATCATTGTATTGTCACACGCGGGGCTCTTTAGAATTTCAGCCATTCCACTTATTATTGCATAAAGAATACCCAAAATCGTTTTGAAAAAATTGTCGTTATGCACCGGTATATATGATGGTTTGATGAAAATGCGTTTTCGCTTTCGTGAATATATGCAGCTTTTTCGAATTCTTTTTTGAACCAATGTTGCTCTTTACTCATTTCTTGAAATCTGTTCTTTGGTTGTTCCATGCTTGTTGTGCAATACCTGATTTGGTTGTTTCTCCCATTGGAAATGGTCATAGATTGACATTTACTGATATTAAGCTGAAGTTTATTTGTGGTTGGTACACCAACGAATCAATATCGTTTTGTAACTCTGAGCAGTCTTGTACGATGTTAATAATTCAAAAAAATTTCAAATCGTCGACAACCAGTATATAGTAAGATGAGATAGTGCCAGTAAGATCATTCACCAATTTACCAAATATTAGAGGAGCTAGAATGCTTCCCTGACGGGTGCTAATTGAAGCGCTGTAGTTGGCAGATCGAAAACCATACTCTACAATTTGCGTTAGGTTGGTTGGTCAAGTTGCTTTTTGTAAGAAATTTGTAAGATTTGTCACGGTTCATCTTTTAGGAAAGAAGCCATGTTGAGTAAAAGATATTACGTTTTTAACTTGATGGAAAAGGTGTTTGTGAATACAGATTTCAAAGGCCTTCGAAGTTAGACAGTATAGATATAGGTCGGTAGTTAATAATCTTATTGATCCGACCTGACTTAAAAACAGGACAAGGATTTTAATAAAGGTAAGATGTAAGATGTGATAAACACTGTGAGCAATCACGCAATGTGAAAGAAGGTATTCTATTATGGCCTAATGTTTTAGTATTCTTCAATCTCTTGAGTGCATTGCACACTTCCAGCTGAGAAGTATTGCTAATTGATATATTTTAGGAGTTGTAGGGCTCATCCGGGCTAATTAAGAAGGGGTTTGATGATGCAAACATACGCTCTTGAAAAAATTAGCTATTTCATCCACTATGTTTTGCGGTGACTCAAATAGCAATTGGTCAAGAATCATTGATCCTGGTATAGGAGATTTTTGTCCGGATATATTTCCAAACATTTTTAGGTTCGCTTTTTATTAATGATTCTGTATTTTTGTTATGTAAGATCCATATGCTACATCAATTTTTGCTTTAATAGTCTGCCTAAGCTTGGAGAAAGTCTCATAATTATTTTTGAATTTAGTTTTTTTTTTTGTATTTGTTGTGTAGTCTTTGTGTTGGGTCTAAAGTAGCCAATTATTTCCTTATAGTGTACCAGGATGGATATGAAAATTTGTCCTTTGTGTCTGCATGAATAGAGGGACTGTCAGATCAAGGATATTGTAAAATGTCTCTTGAAAGAAATTAACTGATGTACTGACATCTTGTCCATAAACTAACTAAAGTATATGAATGAATATTATTAAATTGTACGTAATTCACTAGATTTCTAGACTATCCATCAAGGTTAAATTCTATTCTCGAAACTTCTGTAGACAACAGATGCATGGGGGTTGATCAACAAGTAGGGCAGGATCGAAAGACAGGTTTGAAGCGGTGCTGCCAGATTGTGTGCAAATTTCTCAACGTAGAAGAAACGTAAACTTGGCAACGTCGAATCTCGTATGGTTTCTACCGATGATATAATAAAGTTTACATATTCTGAATGGGTTCAGATTACAAGGACCGAGCAGATTCGCATTATCTAAGCTTCACTGTATGTTGAGAAATAATATTTAAAAATGCATTTTTGTAAAAGCCGCAAACACTTTCTTTTCAATTTTCTGGCAAATTATTTTCAATTTTTTTTTCTCTGAAAGTTTTTCTTGAATAATTTTTTTATCTTTCTGTTCTCTCCTGCATTTGTCATAAAAAATTGATCAATCTTTTTCTTAATTTATTCTGTCTCAATTTTTTTCCATTCCAGGATCTTTAATTTTATTTTTGTTTGTAGTTTTACTTACATGGACTGCCATAAGAGCTTAAGCAAATGAGACTCGAAAAAATTTACATTTCCTCGAACATTTTCTCAAAAACTAAAATCGTTATTTTACCTAAATTCTCAGATAGTAGTGGAGGACATATTATGTATTCATCTACTGCATTTACTTTTTTTTAATAAAATATTTTTTTATTAGTATAATAGATATACACCTCCGGCACCTACTATTGGGTGTAGGCTCACTCAACTGAAATGATTTCAATAAAAATACCTCAGGGTTTTTAGGATCTATCGATCCACCAGTAGATACATTTTTTGTTTCAAAGTGTGCCCTTCGCTATTCTTTTAATAATAATAATAATAATTTTATTCAATATTTTCAGTATACATAACAATAACAGTACATTACACAATAATATTTTTATAATCTAATAATTTCTTATTGCATTGTTGTTTTGACCAACTGAATAGGTCTTCCCAAGCAAATTTCGATCGAAAACCAAATTTTCCAAGTAAAATAGTTTTCCCGTTATTTTTACACAATACGTTTCAAATGGACTTGTCTATATGCTATGTGCAAAACACTAGCGAGATATTTTCTATTTTTTTTTAGTTTTGGCGTAGGTTACCATTGGTGTATTACGTATGATAATCATATCATATGTTTAGTTTAATTTTATTGCGGTGTCAAGGAATATTATTAAATACCTAACCCTGAATGATTTCCGCCAACAGCTTATATCGGATAGGTCCTTGGGTTCTTGGACTACAGTATATATTTTATGTTGGGCCTCAGCAAGACAAGATTAATTTTCAAGTTTAGAAAACATTTAAATAATAAAACTTCGGAGTTTGAGTTCGACGGCCGGAATGGTAATTCCCTTTGTGGCAATCAATAGCAATTTAACATAAACTTTCATCAAAAAAATTATAAAATTTGTGACTTACTTTGGCTTTAATATGACTTTTCTCCGCAGATATCCCATCAATCTCTAATCGAGCTTTTGTGGCAGCTGCGGCTTTGCTTTCTTCGTATGTCAGATCTCCCGTTTGTAATTTTTTTGATTCTGCTGTTTTGGCGCTTTCTTTTTCAGCTGTAAGTCCATCCTTTACCACCTGAAACAAAGAAAATGAACATTGAAAATATTAAAATAATAATATGATTATTTAAAAATCTACCTTGATAAAAGACGTGAAACAAATAACCGAATCAAGTAACATTTTCTACGGGCGATGGAAATTAAAATTGATGTTCCGCACTGTGTGTTATCTAAATTTATATAGTTTGCCTTTTTGTGGTCGCGGTTTTCATGTCTATTATAGTGTAAACGTTTCATGGTTGTATTAATTATAGTAACTATCTTGTTCCTTTCATTTAGTAATAATCATTGTAATCTTCAAAAAAAGTCAAAAAAGAAAATCCATTTATTTTTTTCTGCAAAATGTCTTATAATGGAGTGTTTCACATATTACAGACAGAGAAATGTTAGCACATAGCCTCTATAACTGAATTAGCAGTGATGTTACAAATTTCTAATATAGTAGAAGGCAACGGCTGTTCTGTCTGGGAATAACAAGGCAATCTCTCCATAACAGAGGCACTGCTGAACATGCCTCCTTCTTACCTTAGAGACAGAGGAAGAAGAAACATCAGGCTATTCCAGACAGAGAAACTTAAAATCCGGAGATCTGAATGGTCACTTACGTATCTTGGAGGCCAAAAGGTAAAAAGTAAACCAACTTCACACTGCTGGACTTAGACATTAAATTTGAAGTGGTCGTAAAGAGTTCAAGACCGCCAGTCATGGAAGAACATGAAACCACTTGCTACAATACTTGTGCCCAAAATTGATTCAAAAGAGGGCTCACAAGGGAGCACATTTACATCCTGTCAGATAGCCAGAGGCTCTAAAAGCTCTAGCAGCTTGAGCTTGAGGTATCAAGTGCACGCTGCTGTTGTGGTGAGGCAAAAAGATCTTCAAGAATGTGAAGTAACGCTGATGTGGATACCAGGAAGTCAAGGCATAGATGGCAACGAGGCGTCTGCGACTGGCAAAAAGATCTGTACAACTACTCGAAATGAACAGAAGACACATCAGAACAGTGCAAGATAAGTGCATTAGAACGTCCGCCTGCTTACAGGGCAATGCCGTCTAAAAAAAATAGGCAAAGCAGCAACAACCAACAGAAACAGCAGAACGTCTTATCTGTGAATGTCCTTCTCAGTTCGGTAAGAGGCTCAAATACCTTGCAGGGACACGGCTGACGCCCCAAGAAGTAAGCGCCATACAAGCCAAGAACCTGACTTTGACACCAGCTAGCAACAGAGTCATGCACAAAATATCTGGAAAAGTAGCAGCGCTGAGTGGCTGTATTAGTGGGAAACGATTCCAGATGCAATCTACAAGGCGACAAGAATAACTTTTTTTTTTGTCTTTACACTATTGTCGTTATTCTTCCTCATTGATCAAATGTTATATTTAAATCAAGATATTTCATTAATTATTTCTCAGTATCGTCGAACGAACAACAGTATGTTTGAGGAAACCAATTCCACCAACATTGAGGCAATGTTCATCCAACATCAGCTCCGCTGGGCTGGTCATGTAGTCCGAATGCCAGACTCACGTCTTTCTAAACAAATTATGTACGCTCAACCAACGTAGCAAAGGAGGGCAATTTCAACGATACAAAAATGTTCTAAAGGCAAACATGAAAGCCTGTTAGATCTGACTGGGAGGCTACGGCTATGACTCGAACCGTATGGCGGAGAAGTATTCATCAAGGCTCGGAGTATCCCGAATGACAAACGCGAAGGCATTCAGAGGAAAAACGAAATCGAAGAAAAGAACAAGAACGAGATAAGAGCTGTTTTACAACAGCGACCGGCTACCGCTGATTGGGGTATGTAATCAATCTGGGCTCAGGATAGGCTTATTTAACCATTAAAGAACCCATAGGTATTGATGCTGCCAAGATTCCTATAATACTCTTTAGCGAGTGAATGCCTATGATGATGATGCGAATACAATAATTGTGGCAAACTCTTTGCCTCCTATAAAGCAAGAGAGCTCCTTCGTTATTACCACAGAACTTTTGAGCCTATTGACTGGTCGTCCGCGTATGCATTGGTGTAGGAGCAGTGAAGTAGGTACGTATTGTCAGAAGCGAGACTCCATAGACTAGGCAAAGCGTCTAGCAATTGTGTCACTGGTTGCAGTATACCCTTTAGCCGTTATACCTTTACTTGAACTCTAGGTGAATGGATGTTGGTTGGGAAGTAGAGGTGGCGGAAGCCGGTTGATCAATATGTACCTAATCCCTTAGATATCAGTTACATGCCTTTTCAAAGTTTTTAGGACAAAGGATTTAAGGATGTTTGTTCGATTTGTTTTAGGGATCGTGTAGTCCATTTTCGCTGTAGAACACTTCTGAAATCTTCCATTTCTTTTTGATGTTCAGCGCTATAAACATGCTCTAAACGCCTTTGCCAGGTGGGGTAATATTTCGTCCAGGCCCTGCACTGTAGAAGGGCTATGCCAGAGTAACATTGTCCAAAATAGATTATAAAATTTACTACAGTTTGCATAATTTTTTTATCAGAAAGGTATTTATTATTTGTTAAATTTGATGCAGTTGAAAGCCGTATTTTGATGAATCTTTCATATTTATTTCCAGTCTCTAATATACATATTTGCAAAGCATTTTTGGTTTTAAATGCGAAAATATAATCAAAAATAGGCTTTTTATTAATCAAAAGAATGTTATCGACCTCTATACCTGAACGGAGAATGGAAGACGGAAAATTAGAAATTTTGCAGAGCAGTTTTGGGAGATTTTACTATTTTTTTAAAAAAATATTTCAACAAAATGGCACACCTCAATGTTACCCAGTGTCCACACCCACGCCTATTTAAAACTATAAAAAGTTAAAATAAAATTTATGTTCCATGTCCATGTCGCTTTTGTTTGCATATATAAAAGTTGTAATTTTCTGTTGTTGTCTGGAGCTTTAAATATAAGAAAAAATGTTGGACAAGGAAGCAGGTAAAGTTAAACACCTACACAGCTTTGAGGGACCCCAAATAAAAATGTTTCCAGTTAAAAAAAAAAAACAAAGCAATTATTGTGTGTCTCAAAAGCTCATAGGTGGACGATGGAATTGCATTACCACCTATACGCCTAAACCAACGTTTCCTGTTTATTATCTTTTTAATTAGGTATGAGAATATTTTGTAAAAGGAAGGAAATGACATAGTGATCGTTTTCCATATGCATAAATCGATTCTGTGACGAATTTGGAAATACGAAATTATGAGGTTTTTCTTTTACGCTTCTAAAAATTGCAAATAATTACCATAAAATGTTTAATATTAATAGATACGATACCTAATAGTAGCGTGTATAATACGCAAATATTCATATTCAGATTCTAATTTTAAAATTGTTCAGATTTAAAATGATGGTAAATTAGCGGTAGGTAACTTTTAAAACGAAAATTGGAAAATGAGCAATTCTTTTTCTTTTACATTAGAGTAGGTAGGTACTTGAGTAAACGGTAACCGATTATTTGATAATTTAAGAATGCGCAACAAATATCAAGGTTGTTTCAAGCTAAACGATTTGACCTTTAAAACCAATTTCATCTTCTTTCGATCTTTCCTTTATTGTTTGTGTGCTTAGATTTTCGTGAAGTAGTTACAGCATACAGCATCTTTTGGAGAACAGTTTTGATATCCTTCATTGGGTACTAGTAAAACCCAATTTTCCAATTTATTTCATCTGTTGTAGGTATTATAAAAAGCAATATAGGTAGGTCTTTTTTGGGTTCAAGTGCTTTGAACAACTGGGAGCATAAAGGTACATATGTGAACAGAGAGGGGGGATTCTAATACTGACAAACAACATAGAACAACTGGGGAAAATGTTGCTAGAACTGAAGATATCATCTGCGAAGATTGACTTGGCAATTATTCTGGAAACGACTAAAATTATGACAACTGAGAATGTACAAAACAATAAAAATTGATGGAAAAAACATAGAGAAATAGGACAAAATTTGAAATTAGGCATAACCATAAGTACAGCAGAGTTGTCACGAAAAAAAAAAGTGACTAGGGCGGCAGTTTTTAAAGTGAGTACACTCTTGAGAAGTAGTGAAAAGCTATCGATCTGGAAAAAAGTCTTTATAACATGTATTCTCCAAGTGTTGACATACGGCGTGGAAAGTACTAACTTACGGGCATAACGCTTGGGAACATTCTAAGCTAAGGGAGCAAATCCGCAATGAAGATATTAGAAAAATAACAGAGGTCACGCACAGGTCTAAAACAAAAGAAGTTCTTGAGATTTACATGTTCAACAATAAGTAAATATAAGTAGGTATCCATGAATCATGATTAACTGCGTAGGTTGTTCAGAAAGTAAGTTTTTCACAACAAAATAGACAATTAAAACAGAAAAATCAAGATTCAAGATGTCACATGGACAAGTAATTTATCGAGGCAATAAAACTTGGTTTGATTGCTTTTGTCAGTACTCGCCACAAAGTATATACCAATACCAGTACTGTATAACCGCGTTGCGTAATGCGGTGGTGCCAGCGATAATGAAACAGCTCGTAAGTTGTCGCCTGACCCACATAAATAATAATTTATGGCTGTTTTTGTCTTGGTTTCACAGCGATTTTCTTTGTTAGCGCTTAATTCTTTTTACGATTTTGAGTGGGCAGTTAAAAACTAATTAGTTTTGTTGCTTCGGCTATTCTGAAGCCCAAAAATGCGTCACGGCGATGAGATTTTGGCTCGTTGATCGATAATATTTATGGATTTGACATTTTTTGTTGTTTCGTTATTAAGTGAATGAATGCACATTCGGATCTGTGGAATCATGTTTTATGAAACGACTTTTTAAGTATCTTTGAGGCTCATTTTCTTGAAAAAAAACACTCGCCTTCCGGAGGCGATCATTTTTTTTGCCTCTCGTATTTATTAAAACTTTTATTTTTATGGTTACAGAAATGAATACAGTATTTTTGTCATATTATCTCAGATTATATTATAATTGAACAATAACACAACCAATTAAATTTTATGACAGCTCATTTGGTGTTAATTTTCACATAAATACATATTATTTCCAGCGTTATAGTCAATTTCCGTATTAACATATTGCCATTTTCTGAATTAACATATTTACCATAAAATATATTTAAGTAGAAGTTGAATCATAATCTGTGTCAAATAATTTTTTTCAACACCCACACATTCTCCGGAAAAGCAGCTTTCATTTAAGTACCTACTAGAAATATAAATATACAATTTTAAGAATTATAAATTAGGAAACATCACGACCGGTTAATAACCATTTCATTTGCCAAGTCACATTTGCTTGAGATTTGGTCACTGTTAATGACTTTACTTTAAAATGACTGCAGTATGATTTAACTTTTAATGGACAAAAATTAGAAAAGAAAAAGAAACCGCCTGATAATAGTATTCAAATGTTTTTTTTTTCTATTTACCTTTGTTTTCTTGAAGTTATTCGTAGTTTTCTGTTCATATTTTAAACTTTCGATGGTTTGGTTGGGCTGAGGCGATCCCACTTCTGAAGGGGCTCTGCTGTCGTCTGGAAACGTTACCAGAGGTGGCGGATCAGTTTCTATATATTCGTCGCCATCGTTATCCACCTAAAATTTATTATTCAATGCAGGTATTTATTATTTTTTGTAAAAATTATTCATATAAAATAATAGTAAATTTATCTTTAGGCGTTTTCATTGGTTATAGATACAAGCAAAGCGAATGAAATGAGATCAAATAACATTGTTTAATAAATAATTATAAGACAAATAAAACTTATTCCGGTCATTCAGAAGCATCATTCTCTATAATCACTGCATATTTTCCACAAATAAATTATAAAATATTTTGCTCACTTATTATGAACACGGAGGACCACCAACTAATATGGAATAAAAATATTATCAAAGCCATATTGTGTCATAAATGTTTGGAACCATAACTATTATCGAATTTAGTTACAACAGCCGATTAATTTAATTTAAAAAAAGGATCATGCCAAACCGTGCAATGTTAATTACATAATATCTTGAATAAAATTTGCAAACTGAACCTTCCTAAAAAAAAGTTACGGAATTTAATTTATAATATTGGGATTGGGATTAAGGACTCGACTGAACAGAAAGTTGGTGTAAAATAGTTTGTATTTTTCTTTTTTATAATAATTATAACTCTATTTGGGCATCCACAAATATTTTCGATAAATCGTATTAGATCAAGCAACAACAAGTTTCCTCAGCAATTTTTACCTGCATATTAGGGAATTTGGATATTGGTAATGTTTCAGCCGATGGGATCCTTCCCAGATTAGTATTCAGTTTCACATATCTGGACTAAAATATGTTTTTCAGTTGGCGATCCTCACATAATACACATTTTTTATTTGAATTGGTTGATAGAGGTTTGAAATTCTTACCAAGTTCTCAATAGAGCTACGCAATTTCTTGATGCTCTCGGGTAATCCGTAGTTCGACAAACTGCTTTTCATGTCGTTAAGGTTGTTTTTGAGATCGTCCAAGTCGGATTTGACGTTGGAGGCTTTCAAGTCGGAAGACGAGGATAAGTGCACTCGCTGTGTCGAAGTAGTCGTAGACGAACTGGAAGATTTTACTCGAGTGGTAGTCGAAGTTGATTGTGAATTCGAATGCAACTGAAAAGAATTAGACTTTGTTATAGTTTGAATAAATAAATGTATTGTTCTCTCAAAATAACTCTAATCAGACTATATTCGGTTTCCGTTTGGTTCACAGCACAGAACCTCATTATGAATTCAAAGACACACAAAAAGGGTCGAAAGCAGGGTGAGCATTGTGGGTTTAATACGCAAATGTTACAGAAGCATAAACCTAGTTTCAACAATATTTCCGACACACTCGGTACCGGCTTTAATTCAATAATGTCAAAACAAGGGTTTAGTCCTATATTTTGGAACAAATCGTCCATCAGTGACGTTGCAGGTGAGGGGCTCCTCACTTTATATCATAAATTACTAATTTACTCCTTGAACAAAAGTAAACTTTCAATAATAAAAACGTACAAGAAGTTACCTATAGCAATAGAAATAGGAAAATAGAATTTATTATAGAAAAAAGGTACAAAAAAATTAATTTCACTGAGAAAAGCGACTCAGAAAAATGTTCAATTCTCTGAGCGACTTTCCCCTGAATCATTCTCATCTGAATCAGATGTTGTCACAGTTATAATTGATGGTTTTACAGTTTTTTCCAAGAGGTTGTCAAGGTTCCACATGTTTTGTTCTTCCTTTATTACAAGGTTTAAACCATTGCTCCAGTTTTCTGCAGTTACGTGGAGGTGGTGTTATTTCTTGCTTTAAATCCCTTCACCCGAACCCATATTAGTTCAATCGGATTTAATTGGCAATGGTAGGGTGGACAAGAGAAGTATAATTATATCCCGTTCCTTAGCCATTTTATCAACAACATGTCTTTTGAACTGTGATTTTTGTTATTTAGCTATTTTCAGAGCTTCTTTTTTTGAAATATTATTTTCATAGGGTATTCTTTTTTCATTCAGCAAATTTAGAACGTCTTCTTTCCGCCAGGAACATGAGGGTAATTTTTCTGCTAGTCTGCAATGATAGCTGCCGTTGTCCATGAAAATGACGGAACCTTGGAATTGAAGTCAGAAAAGTAGTCTTCCAAAACATCGGCCGTCATTTTTTCATGGTAATCGTTGGTTGATTTTGATTCGAATTCAAGCAAACCTCCATTTAAAAAGCCTCTATCACCACCTGTTAGTTATTACTAACCTGCAGCCTGGAAGGCATTTTTAAGCCAGTCGAAAGGCTCTCTACAAATGCCTGGCGAGAATTGTGGACATTATTATCTTTTTAATATATTTACTGTGTATCCTTAATTAACCCGCATTTCGTCCAAGTAATAAATGCTTCTTTGTTCTCTTCTGTATTTTCTAATATCTCTTAGATAGTGTCTCCTCTAACAGAATATTTCTTCTCTGCTTCTCCCAACAAAAATTTAACTCGTAATATTTTTCATAATTTTTGTCGTCCCATTCCTGGTATATTATGTGCGTTTTTATTCTCATCGGTGGATTCACCGATGAGTTAGCTATCTTTGTTTAGTGAATGGAAGATGACAATGACCGACATAAAATGGTGGATCCATCGGTAAAATTTGATGAGAATAAAAACGCAGGGATTCTCGTCCGCTAATATTTTATCTATTGTTGGGATCTCCTTATTCAAATAAAACGAATGTACTTCGTATTACCTATTATACTTCTTGCTAGTTCATTAAGTTCTAACCTAACGATTTTCTTCCGGGCGATTTTCTAGATAACTTCACACAGTTATCATTTTTACAATAAATTTACAATGAAAACGCATCCTATATAATATGCATGCACCACTTACAAGTAAGTGCAAAATCCATACTGAATTGCCATCAGACCAATAGCGACGCGGTTCTTATGGCCGCCTATGGTTTATGATTGCTTTATGGTCTTCGACCCTTTTTTGCCTTTTCCTGTGCTATTAAGAAAAGGAAACAGAATATAGTTAATCACATTACGTTTTAACAGGCTCGCAAACTATCAAAACTCACATTTGAATAAGAATTAGCCATGAATGAACAAAACCGAATATTAATTCGCCTACAAGCCTGCTGGAATGTGTCCGAAGTTCTATAAGTATTCCTAACTGGAACCGCGAGTAGCACCAAAGAAATCAAAGTGGGACAGTCAAGCAAATAATTGATTAGTTAATAACCTTGAGGCATAGTTTAAGGTCTGCATGATCCCTTCTAACCTTCAATGCTGGCAATGCAAATATCTCTAGAAGTAAATTGAAGTCGTAGGTGTACTCATTAATAGGTGAAGTGTTTGATTTATATGCCAAATATCTAATAAAATTCCTCTGTGGTTGTTCGAGTCTATGAATATGACATGCATCATGCTCTAAACTTGCCAACAATACTTTGATAATGGTCTGACAAGGCTACAGTACAGCAGTCGAATAGCGGAAACACTTTTAAATTCCGATTTAGTTCTCTTATCTATTTTTAGTGAGATTTTGCACTGAAGTATCTTATTTTTATCATCAAATATAATTTAACCGTTTGGAGCTTCTTGGAGACCCAAAATGCCTGTCCTCTGTCCCTGCAGTCGAGGTATCCTTTTACAGGGATGGAGTAATGTGAACAATAATAACATTGACTAGACGTGAATCCCAGAGACAGAACAGATGCAAAATTATACAGTGACCTTTAATAAAGACAGTGCACCATCTCGTGGTATTGTGTGGTACTGCGCCATCTTGTGGTCGATGATGTCACGAGTTTTTTTTTTAGAAGTTTGTGATAACCATTCAAACAAATTTTTTTAAAAAAACAAGGGTCTCCTGAAAATGGATGTAGATGAATGTAACGCAATAATGAAAAAAGAAACGCCTAAACACCAGATTGTAACGTAGCACTTCAAATCATCAGCAAAACATAGAAATTCAGAGAATTGAAAACAATCTCCAATATCATTAACAAATATTAAGAACACCAAGGGGCCTAAGTGAGATCTAGGACTATTTTTAAAAGTGTAATTATTGACTTATTTGACTACCGCAGCGTCAACAAAGGTCCGATATAAAAAACAACAAGATAGGTATAAAATACCAAAATTCGGAAATTTCTATACAGGCTATACCTACTCGCTATTTGTGCTCAAACCTATGATGGTATTGTGGCTGTTATATCAATTTTGTTTTCTGATTTAGTATGCTTAGATTTGAAACCGGTATGTAGCTAGGGTAGTGTCCTTTTTAAAGGAAGCCCAATTTTGTCTTCATTGTCTTACAAAGCACACACGTATTGCATATTCTAGCTGTGTCTGGCAGCGATAGAACCTCGTTATAAGAGGTAAATGCAATGGATTGTATACACTTAACACCTGTACTATGAATTTTTCATTTGGCTTCGCCAGTGGGTTACAGCATTGATTTACATATTGTATTTTTTTGTATCTTGTATTCTTAGGTATTGTGTCTTGTTCCTTATCAAAACTGGATTTCTCCAAATATTTGTTCACGATATGTTAAGACCCATTCACCATGGCAAATTAGCAATGCTGCTCGCTCGCCTTTCTCGCGATTGGATTGGATGGGATTGGATTTCAATATTGGATTACTTTTCTTTCAAATTCGTGAAGAAAGTATGGCCACGAGTTCACGTTATAAAGCACACATAACCTTGTTCGATGATGGTTTATCAAGTGACGACCTCGCGACAAAATACAGAACTGACGAATAGTATTTCACCATTGCATTTCACTAATAGCCTGTTTACACTACATGCAGTGATTGATACTATGATACTTTTCGTTCAGCTGATGCAATTTAGTGGCATTGTATAGACAAAAGGCGGGTTCACACGGGTCGATTTTTGCGCAGGGCAGTTAGTTGCGGACGACTATTTTAAATTTTTCCATAGGAAAAGTGCTATAGCAAGTTGCATGTTGCATTTTGCATTCATTGTCAGTGAAACTCAAATTTTTAGTTTATTTTGTGTGAATTAATTTAATTAGGGGACGAGCTTCTTCAGTAGTCAAGCACGAAGAGGGCTCAGTTGTCAATCCTGTTGGTGAGACTGAGGCACAGAATAAAATTTAAGATTAATTGAAACAAATAATGAGTTTTATGAATTTCAATTTTCACCAAGTATCGGCTGAATGAATCTAAATAATGAATCACTTGATGAACAAACTTATAGAATAAGAAAGTTAAGAGTTAGGTGGATGCTTCTCCTGAAATGGCTTAAGCAAGCCAAACTTTGGCTTAAGGCAGAAATGATTAATTACATTCTATTATTACCTTAAAATAAATTCAGTTAATAAATTAGCACTTAAAATAAACACAAATCTCCACTTCAATTTGATTACCGAAGGAAAAAATAAGACAAAAAAAATATAACGCGCATCGGTTAGTTAAAAGTTCGCGGTGAACAGCCGCGTCGGATTCGAACTGGACAAAAAATATGTCCCAACTAGAATTTAAAACTTTTAACTTGATTAGTCATATAGATATTTTGGACCTGGTGACGTTTTGGCACTGTCTTCAGTTTTTTCGAGATCCTTGGGTCAGCTGGACCAAAGCCAAATTGCAAGTGTGAATAACGAGAGTGCGGTGTAGTAATTGCGTACCTACTTATAATTGTCACTTGTAAAAAAGTAGCACATTGTGTACCCTGTATATCCGTAGTTATAATTACAGACCAATTAGAGTACTTTATGTGGTGTTACATACTTCCTCATAACGGAACCATCACATTATTTATAGAACAATGTTAATTTTCGAACTTTTGTTTGGTTTAAAATTTTAAATAATTCTAATGTTTTGCAATGATTTACTTGAAAGTATTATGTAGATATTCTGCAACTCTATTTAAAAAAAAATAGGTATTTTACAACAGGAAAAACCCACAATATTTATTTATAATAATTCAAATTGCCTTATTTCAAGTCCTAGTGACTCACTTGGAAATTAGGTATTATTGTTTTTATTAGCTCTTAGAATTCCAGCAAACGAATGTACGATCTATTTTTAATGCAGAGGCGACAATAATATATTTGGTCCTACAAAAATGGGAATAATATTATTTTGGATTCAAATCTATGATTGCCAAG